ACACATTTTTGTAATGATTTTGTAAAGATTTATATATAAACAAACCTTAGACTTTTATTTTCTAATAAGTTCAATATGATAGCCTTTTGTTGAACTATCATATTACATCTTGATTTCCAAGATAGTCCTTTTCTTAAAACCTTTCCAAGTCCTTTACTTAAAGCATCAAGTCTGATTTTATTCCACTTCTCCTTCACAATCTTCCAGAGCTCATCCAATGTTTTGGGATGCCGCTTATAAAAAGCTTGTTGTAAAAGTCCAAATGCGCAGTAATCCATAGAAGACATATCAGGGGACCTTGAATGGGATGCATTTAAAGGGAATAGCTTCCATTCCAGTTTCATGTCTCAATTTTCAAAAAATAGAGCAGTAGATTTAGAGGTATGGCTTGGAGCCTTATCCTGATGGAACTTAACAGTGAAGATTGTATGGATAAAGAGATGAAATTTCTTAGGCGTTAAAACATATTTCTGATACTAATACGAATGAATTTCTACATTTTTTTCGACTTTCTTTATTTTAAGTTTTCGATTATAACAGAATCCAGTAATAATCATAAAAACTTTAGAAAAAATTTCCTTGTTTTCTCTGAACCAACATATTAAGTCTTTTTCTCCTCTTTTTCGATAGTAAACGGATCTCTTTTTCTATTGCAATCAGATAAGTATATCCAAGCCTCATCATTTGTAACTATATATTTCCATTTTTCACCTACCAAATAATTTTCATACAGCAATCTGCACATAGTCCGCTGAAAACATGTTTCTGCGTTAGGCGATTAATAATGTTTTTTTAATTAGATTTAAATCAGATTTTATAACTTCACAGTTCCTATCGATATATTTAAAGATTTTGCCATAGCATCTGGAGGGCTGGATTTTCCTTTAAAACATGAGATTTAATAAGAGCTGTACGTACCTTTGCTGGGCATGCATTTTTTGCCTTTTTCCCAGTCAGATGTAAAATTTGACGTTTCTTTCCTTTCATATTAATTATGTCTTTTATTTTACGTGTAGAAATACTAAAACCATGCTTTTCACATCTTTTTTTTAATAACTGAATAAGAGCATTTCTCTTCGGAGAGTGAAAAATACAGCCTTCGATCCATTGTTTATTTTTTAGCGACATTTTAAAGAAAAAAAATATTTTTAATACTGCAGACGATAATTAAGTCTTATTCAAACTTGATGCCAGTCACGTTTGTATTTTAAAATAAATATTTAAATTCAAGGAGAAAATCAAAATCGTTACAAAAATGTATGAACACCTTCTGTATATGTGTGAGGAACTTTGGATCACGATAATTCTCATATCAAACTCCCGAAATTTTCTATTTTCCGTACTTAAGCGTTTTGCATTCATATAGAGAGTTGATCTAAAATACGGAAGTGACACTTTACTTGAAGCCTATAACAACTCAAAGTGATACTTTCAGCCCGTAACAGTTTTTTATGAAAAACTATATTAAAATATTATCCTAAACCTTTTAATTTTAGTATATAAGAATTTATATTAATGGAAATTAGGTTTCGGTTAAAACTGATAAACCAATAGTGATAGTTTACTTGAAGCTCTGAACAGAATTTCGTGAAAAAAATATGTTTTGATATAATCCAGAACTTTTCAAGTTTGGTATTTAAAATTCGTATAAACATTCGTATAAACCTGGGCCGGTATTCCAGATGCCTATACAATCATGAGTGCGAATAAAATGTTACATTTTCACTACCAGACTACACTTCTGGTATATGATAAACCAGAAGTGATATTATAACAAGAATTTAACCTAAAATAATATCCTGCTGCTTTAATTCTTAGTAATCGTGGAACGCATGGCAGTCACTATTCAACTGTTAATTTCAAAATTAAAGTGCATTGTTTAGTGATACCTAAATATCATGGCGATATACTTGTAGAACAAAATGAATTTAGATTTGTTGACACTTTAAAAATAACGTAGAAATAAATTAAATTATGGTATTCATTTCAAAGTATTTACTTTAAATGTATTATGCACACATAATTTTCTTTAATTAAAAACCAATTAAATTGTACTGTAGGGATTTATTTAATTTACTTAACAGTTAATTTATGTTTAAGCAATCTTTCCTATTGCTCTTGATTTCAACTCTACAATGCAAATGATATAGTGCGTGTGCATTCAAATGAGGTGGAAAAAAGTTAATATTTAAAGGAAATTTTTGGAAGGTAAAATCAGAGCGTGTCCTACCTGCCTGAAGGCCACGTTACTATCTTTGATTTCCTTACGATTAGACTTCTGTGGGATTGAGCTATTCTTGCCATTAGGCTTGCTTACGCCGACTTTCGAGTCAGAGCCAGCCTGCGCGATAGTTAAGCTGAGAAGCCGTTAGGTTAAATTTAACTTTATTTAATTTTGAGTTATTCATTACTTTTCGAGTTAAGCCAGAAGTGCCGGCTTTTGTAAGCACGACTTGGTGCCACCTGTGAACTTTTTTGAGTTAATATATGGTTCTTTACTTCCTTTTCCTGACTTTGTCGTAGCTTAAGAATAATTCTTTAATGAGTTTTATAACGTCGAGCTCAGTTTAGGATAACAAAGAACACGGGACATTATAATACGTTATTCAACTGCCCAATAAAATGCAATTTTTATAAAAAGAAATTAAGGGACAAACATTTGGCTGTCTTAATAAAACTCAGAAAAACTCAATTTTTACACACAGCCAATTATACCTAATAAAATACAATCCAGAGTTTCACATTAGAGACCTTTCTATTTATTGGAACAACAAATTAGACTTTATTTACAAACTATCAACCAGAAGTGATGCTTGTTGCGATTGGTGGGAGGTCATGTGCTAGCCACATCAGATTGTTTTAAACTTATTTGGAGAAAACAACAAAATGCTTGATTATATTTTAAAAATATGATTTCATTCTGGAAATAGTTTTCAACAATATTTGTATTATTTTATAAGGTATTTCTCCCACATACCTAGCGCGCCTTCGTGGTGTAACGGAGCACGCTGGGCCGGTATTCCAGAGGTCCGTGGTTCGATTCCCGGCGAAGGCGGTTGCATATTTTTCATCTTTTCTGCTTCCAATTAACCTAATGACTCTACAATTTACACTGAAAACTTACAAATTTAAAACAAAAGTAATTGATTTGTTTCAAGGTAACATTTTGTAGTTCGTATTTTATGTATGCAAAGGACCATTTTTTTCAAATTCTGCAACGATGCAGAATTTCGTCATTGGAATTTCGAAATTTTGAACTGACTATTAATATTTGAAATTCGGAGTTAATATTAATTTTTCTGGATAAATAGAATTCTTGACCACCCGAAACTTTTTCTGTTCCTTTCAGTTTGGACTCATCGAAGGTGGACTGTATAATACCTAAGAATCTAAATAACTTCAACATAATCATGAACTAAACGTACATGATTATACATTTTCGTCTAAAATTACATTTGCAAGCATGAATTCATGGATTTTTTGGAAAATGGAACATATAATTTCATGAATTTGTGTGGAGTGACACATAACATCATAGTACTCGTACATAAAAACAAGGGAGAGTACAGCATATGATATGAAACTGTAGCATAAAACAATGAAAATGGTAATACTATGTTACAAAGAGGGTTTAGAAAAAAGTATAATTTACGAAAAAAAGGAAAATCTTATGAATTTAATATGGAATATGATCTCCCTTGACTTGTACACATGTATCACAACGTGTTTTCATGTTGGCCATAATGCCATTGTTTGAATTACTAAGCTTGGATTACCACAATTTGGATTACTAAGTTCCACTCCTCTAGCGATGCGAAATATTTACATGTCCAGGAGGATTGTGAAACAGTTTTTCGAAAGTAGTCCTATAAGTTCTCTAGCGGATTAAGATCAAGAAATTTTGTTGGCAACACTTATGTCTTCACTGTCAAGGATTTCTTCAATGAGGGTTGTTGAATGTGGACGAGCATTATCATTAATAAATATAAAGTCAGCTTTGTCTCAACCTCGGGAAAGTCTTGCATGATGTTCTAAGACCTCATCTCGATACCTCTGGCTGGTCACAGATTTGCTGTTGAAAATTCCCATACCACCACACCTGCATTACCGAAACTGTCACGTTCTATAATCTCGATAGAAGCCTTCGCGTTCCTGACTCGTTTGAAACATAAAGAGAATATGCGTTCACTTCAGTTCTGATATTCTTTTTGCCATTTAAAGCGATATCTTCTATAGTGAAGAAAGACAGTTTTTCAATGTGCCCTTAATTGCCGAGCAATAGACTTCCTGTTACGACAGGCAGTTATTGCCATATATCGATTCGTTTAAGTTTAAGGGATCTTCTCCCGGCCTTCTTACAACAGTTCCAGAGTTCTGAAATTGTTTTCATACTGCAGAGACTGTTTGTCTTGAAATATTATTATATCTCACTGCTTTAACGATTATCTGCCCAGCTTCTAAAACGATTGATGATTCTCCGTTTCACAGATTCTTTCAAATGATGCGAGGGAGACATAATAAATCTTTTTTGAGCTCTTACACATTGAAATCAGATGATATGTTGTAGAAATTCACTCAGTTATTCATTTTGCGCAGAGCTCTTGATTCACCATCAGATGACGTAACGCCTTGATTTGCATATCAGAAATCGTTTAATCACTTTTCATTGGATAGTAATAATTAGACTTTCTTTCGCACATCCCCAGCAAACACGAATTACATCGATTGGATATTTCACGGAATATCGTTATTTTGGGATATATAATTTGGACATAAATGCATTTTAAGCTATTCGTACTACTTCTTTAATAATATGGTTAACCCCATCTATCCTGAAATCGTTGCAGTTTCTAATTGCGCATAATTCTACAGCTGACTGCATTGTCAAGAGATCAAAAAAGTTGTGTCATAATGCCAGATGGTAGAACTCCTCGCATTGATACTCGATTGTTTTTCCGTCTGTCACTTTAACTTTTATTTTCAAAGGTAGGACTTTGCTTTTCAACAACGCAATCTGTGTGTGTGCGTATATATATACATAGTTTCATTTAGTGAATACGTGCATTCAATTCAGCTTTCAGCTTTCCATCTTATGCCTACGGTCTTTCATTTCACTTTTAACGTTACCAGTGGCCTCCGACATCCCATCCAGATATGCAGATCAAAACTCGTAGTGCATTATAGGCTCACTGTGTCAGCAAAATTCAGGATCAAAGGATCTTAAAAGGATGCTTTCAGTAAAGTGGTGTGCATTTCCACAAGTCTTGAACTAACAGTGAAATCAAGAATGTCTGGCTTGCATGGGTCAAAGGTGAATAAACACCATATTAAAGATAACATTTTTTTCAAAACAGGAGAAATAATATTCCCGCCATTTTAAAATTTCTATAAATTTGACTTTATATTATTTATTATCAAATTTATAGAAATTTGACTTTATATTATTAATTATCAAATTTATATAAATTTGTCTTCTATAAATTCAATATTTTGATTTTGATCAAGTGGCAAACGTAGTAATTTATTTTAAACAATAGTTGCATAAATTGTTTTTAATAATTTTGCAATAAGGAACAGCTAAGTTTTATTTCGTCTGTATCATTTCAATTTTGATGAGGATTGTATTAAAGGTAAGTAAAATTCGAGCTTGCTTTAATATCAGTTGAAGTAATAAGAAACTGAAGAGATAAACTTAGGTTTCTCCGTATTCGAAACAAAATATTTGTTTCTGTATGAAGAAAGCATATATCAGTATTTCCTCAATATGCAATTACACTCCGTAGTTAATATTAAACCAAGGTTTATATTTGTCATTTTTGTAGAAGAGTCTGGAAGAATAAGTTTTCATAAAGATTGATTAATATCATGATAATTTTTGGAGTTAAGTTAACATTAAACATTTGCTATTTTGTAGAAGAGTCCATAAGGTAAATTTGCAAAACGATAGTTCGAGAATTTTGTTCACTTCTTATACTATATTATGACAATGTTAAAGTAACTTATATTGCCAGAAATGTGATTAAACTGTACTGAAGGATTGGTTTGAAATATAAGGATAAAGATTACTCTCAAAATGTCGCCGCTTTTTCGGATGGCACAGACTGTCCTTTCACCATCGATGGGGAATAGCTGATATATTGTACTTTGCACGTTGTAATCGATTATGAAGTCTCAATGCTTCGTTTCCGTTTTATGCGGAATTGGGGTAAGGTTGCATATAGAAAATCTTGCAGAAAGGAAAAGGGCCTACCTTCATATTTAATTTTTGTTCTTGTTACATACGAGACTGAAATAAATCCCTATGATACAGTTGATCGTTTCCATTATTCAAATTAATTCATCGTGAGATCTTTATAAAAGTCTTAATAAGCGGAAACTGGCTCATATTATTGATACAATGATCGAAAGTATTAATATGCTTAGTTGAGTTCTCTTGTTAATAAAAAATCTAATGTGTACACCACATGACTTCCTTGTACGGAATATTAAAGTGCACGCATTTTTTCCTACATTTCATTTAAACTTATTTCATTAGACATATATTTCTCATTCAATTAATTCAGTTCTCACTTTGCGGCAAGGCAAAATAAATAAAAACTCAAAGTATCTTAACCCGTTCGGGACCAGCCTCGTGTATACGCGACGCAGCAATTCCACTCCTACCAGCCCAGCGTCCCATATACGAGACGCAACGATTCTGCTCCTACAAGCCCAGCGTCACGTATACGCGGCATTAAAACGGAACGATTTATTTGAATATTTAAAAGCCAGTAAATGGAGCTAAGTGGAAATTGTTTTCACATGGGTTGATTCATACGGTATTTGACCTTCATGTACTGACAATAGTTTCTGTTTTGTGCTTCTGGTTTTGAGACATTTATTGAAATAAACAAACTGGAAATCACGGCTCTTTATAAGTGCGCCTGTGAATTAAAGAGGTACAGGCGTTTTTGTTTTATTTCGTTAGCATTTTGTTTGTTTGTTTGTTTTCTATTTTTTTAAACTTAACATAAGCTTTCTTGGTTAATTAAAAAGTAACATTACAAGATTATTACAAAAGGTAGAAGACTATCAGCTTTCTCGACATCTTGCTCGCATTTATCAGGAAAGAGGTCATTATGTATAATGACACAGGCGTTATATTTTGGTATATAATATATTTACTTTACATATAATGTAATTATATATAATGTATATATTGACGTGATCAGTAACGGATATCCCGCCAGTGGGGGTCTTTCCTTGATCACTTTCAGGTCATCGTGGACGCTGTTTTCGATTTAGAAAAACAGGAAGTTATCTAATATATAAATCTGATGTCACACAGAGTTTGAGGATGAAATATTTCTGAGCGTCTTTTGAAAGATGCGCTGTGTGCGCTAAAACCAAGGAAAAGCGAAAGAAAACAACTTATTTTGAGTGCGAAATATGCAATGTAGGACTGTGTGTCGATCCTTGTTTTGAGTTATTTCACACACAGCAGAATTTTTAAATTGGAATTTAATTACCTACAGGTAATTCTTGTTTAATATTTTTATTTAATTTCGTATTTGTAATTTTTTTCATGTTAATAGTATTTATTTCTGCGTGTATAGTTATGATTTTAGTATTTTGCCTGTTTAATTTATTTCTCTTAATGTGATATTCTTTATATTAATTCACATTAAAAAGAAGTACATCAAATACGCAACTTCAAAAATTGAAGTCATAGTATAAAAATGCTGATTTTATACGATTTTTTTTAAAATTAGGCTTAAATGCTGAAAATACGCGGGCCGGTGGCGACGATCTATTTCAGTGGGTCTGGTCCCGTGACTGGGCTTTGTTCTCCCAGCGCTGGTCCTTAAGTGTTACTTAAAAATTGAAAGATATAGAAAAATATAAAACACCAAACACTTTTAAAACAATTAAGAAAACATTTTTTACAATTACAATTATAGTTTCTATGCAAAAACAAGCAACTCGTCTAGCCAGCAAGAAGGCAGATTTTTCGGTCCACAAAACTAAAAATTTCCTTTTGGTTCCACTCGCCAAAAAGACACTAAAGGTACAGAGACTTAGTTCACTACTCTGCTAAGTTTCAAATGTAAAAAAAATATGGCTGCTATGGAAAAAAAATTGGCTTAGCAGCATTTAAATAATTTTTAAATTGTTGATAATTCTACAAATATTCCATGCAGATTAACTAAAGGCATAAAAACCGTAACCGGAAGATAATAACAACGTAATTCAATCATTTTTAAGCAAAAAGTGCACAATTTACTAATATATGAGAATAAAAGAACTGAGCTCACTCAGCCGAGTAACAGAGTGGATATATAAATATATATATTTATCTACTTTTGGTGCAGCCGACTGCAACCAAAGTAGGAGGTGCACAACTGCATGTTATAGCAGTCCTACACAAAATGTCAACGTTCCGAAGTCACTGGTTTTTGAGTTATGCGAGATACATAGGTACGTACAGACGCCACGGAAAAAAACTCTTCTGAATCCATTTAAAATCAATTTTATTATTCATTTGGGGGAAAAGAGTCTTTTATTCTGTCCTTACATACAGATGTCCTGCAAAAGGATCGTTAAATTGTACTCGAAAGCGGTTTGTTGAAATATGATACCCGGAATATTTCGTGATTACAATACTTTGTTTACTTCGTACAAGGAAGTAAAAACAACAATTGTGCATGTAATGAGTCTAAAAAATAATGGAGATTAATATACCGGGTGGCTACAATTTAACTTCCTTTATAAAAGGCATCCTACAGCGCAAACGGAATGCAATGAAATTTTGTAAATGGGCTATACACGAGATCCGCTCACGGAATTTCGGAAAAAAAAAAAAAAAAAAAAAAAAAAAAAAAAAAAAAAAAAAATCTAAAATTTCCACCAGAGGGCGCCTTTTCGGGAAAACATGAAATTTAACACAATGAACGACCAAAACGGAATACAGAAGCAATATTAGTAATCCAGAAGAAGAATTGTGGGTAATAAAATGCAAAACCAGGAAAAGCTGTCAGTTGTAGGAGAAAAATGTCGAGATATTTGCATGCTTGTGAAGAAGAGGAAGCTTTCTTCAAAACAAGTTAGGGTACAAAATGTTTGCAGACGTTGTCATGTTTGAGTTGATGTTTTCGGCTGTACTAATGCCAGTCTTTTTAGTTTAAAGTGTGATATTGGTGAAGCTGTTTTACGAAAACAAGGGAAATGCTTCTGCTGCAACTCGTGAATTTCGTCGTAGAAAGAACCTATGGCTTGGACCAATGTCTACTGAAAGTATCCGAGCCATGATTAAGAGATTTGAAGAAACGGGGAAATTAGGAGTTCAACCTGGAAGAAGCCATAAACGTGAGACACCGGTACTTGTTGATGCCGTCAAGACAGCTGTTGACGCACAGTCACAGACATCAGAGTTCACAGCACGTGAAGTTTTTCGACAGACAGGCTGTTTTTACAGCACCGTCAAAAAGTATTCAGAATCATAATGCACTACTTCCCATACCAGATTAGCCATACCCAGGAGCTGCTTGATAGGGGCAAGCCACAACGTTTCTTATTCGCAGTCAGTTTTCTCAACAGACTCTTGATCTGTCATGACCTTGGAATATTCTGTGGAGCGATGAGGCTCATTTCTACCTCAATGGAACAGTCAACACACAGAATTGCCGCATTTGGGCTAAGGAAAATTCACGGATCCACACTGAAATTCTCCTACAGACTCCGAAGGTCACTGTCTGGTGTGGATACACGGCGACATTCATCCTTGGACCATTCTTCTTTGAGAAAATCGGTTAACGTGGGCCTGTCACATGTTCCGTTACGGGCCGTCGGTACCATGACATGCTGCAGACGTTTCTTGTGCCGCAACTACAGCAAAGGCTTGTCCTTACATCGACCATTTTCATGTAGGATGGTGCACCTGCACATATCCATGGCGAAGGCGCTATTGCTCCAGTACTTCACAGAGGAACGTGTTATTAGTCGCTCCTTTCCTAATCCATGGCCACCACGTTCGCCGGATCTAACTCCATGCGATTTCTGATTATGAGGGCTATTTAAAAAGTCCGGTGTATCGTGGACGTGTTGCGACGTTGAATGACTTAAAGAACTCCTAACGCTTCATGTGCGAAACCTCACAACTGATCAGTTAGGATCTGCTGTTGAACACACTGTCCATCGAATTTAAATTTTGCAGGCGAATGAGGGTGATCACGTGGAGCACCTTTCCCTACATCGTCCTGGACACGATAAACAACTGCTCCTCTTGCGCAATTTCGTCCTAATCTGTTCTTGTGTCTGTAAAATGAACTGTTT